TCAAAATAAACACAACTTGTTAAAATAATCAGCGATATTACACGCCAAAACGTCTTAAAAGCTATGATTTATTATCCAACTGTTTAATTTGATGCAGTTTTTATATAAAGCGGGAAAAGCAGCGCAGTGTCACGCGCGTCACGCGTAACTGACCTGTTAAACAGGTTTTCTACAGTTCTAAATAACCAACTGTCCAAACATCGCGTTTGATGTGTAGTTGGACAATAAATACATCTGATTAGGCGTTTGGGTGTGAAGTACCGCTGAGTATTTTTGAGTTGTGGCGTATTTTGACGAGCCCGGGAGGTGAGTAAAATAAAAACACCAAGTCAAAATACTCAGTGATACCACACACCAAAACATCTAATATGATATTTATCATCCAACTGCTTTACTTCATATGCATTTCTTATAAGTTGGAAGAAGCGAAGCAGACAGAGAGGCGAGGCACGCCCAGCCGACTAGTCAAACAGGTTTTTCCACAGTACAAAATAACCAACTTTCTAAATATCGCGTGATATTTGAACTCGATTCACGCGTTATTTGTACTCTAGTATGTGCAGTTGGATACTAACGCGATTTAGCGGTTTTCTAGGAGGCGGAAAATCTTGTTAATTTTGACATCCTTTTCATTGTCAATGACAATATTTACGTAAGTCAATTTATGGAAAACTTGACATTTAAAAAAAAAGCCAAACAAACGTTTGGTGAATTTATGAACATCAACAACATTGCAGCACTACTTTTTTTAAACTGCAGCCCTTTAAAAATTCTTCTCTTGATTTTTCATTCGCGTGACTTTTCTGCGATGTGGTGTGAGCCTACTGTTATTGAGAGACTGCGTATTCCAGGCTCTTAGTCGGTGCGGAAAAACGGGCTAGCTTAAGGCTGGCACGCGAATGCTTTGCTGCTTTCTCTTCTAACAAAAGACTAAGCGCGGGTTAACGATTAGAAATCAAGCCAAATAAATGTCTTGAATTGTTATAAAAAAGCTGATTGCTCAGACTTGACATCAATTTTTTTAAAACAAATATCTTGGCGTAATTGCCAAATAATCTTCTCTGAAAGCTTTAGATGTTAAGCTGATGCAATAAGAACTAATTTGAATGGAAAACGAGGAGCTAAAATGTTCAATTTTTAGTAATTCACCGTACATTGGTCCATCTTCAGTTTGGTGAACATATCAGTTTATACCATGTTTGTTCATTCTTCCGCAGTTTGATAATTGCTGCGGCTGTCTCGGCTGCCATATCGAGCCAAAGGTTTATGGGCCCTCCTGTCGAGCAGACTGCTGTGTTCCGTGCTCGTGTTTCGGCTGACTCCGCTGCCACGTTGGGTCAGAGATGATTCAGGTGTGTGCGCTGGGGTTGCTTCCCTACTGTCTGTGGGGGACATCGGTGGTAATTCGACTTCAGGTTCACCGTGGCATAGGTGTTTCCAAGCAAAAGTAGTACCTACTACTAGCAAGACTACAACTGGAACAAATGACAGAATGTTGAGCAATGTCTTGAGGACTTCTATCTCCTTTTTGGTAGTAGAACCACTGTAATCAAGAGGGGAACTGATCACAGCAATAAACACAAGAGTAGTAAGCAGAACAACATCGGATCTGTTCATCCACTCATAATTTTCTTCTTCCTCCTCCACGTCAGAGGCTTCCTTGTAGGGCTTGAGGAATGCAAAGATTAGAACAATCAAAATGCAGACACCTTCCAATAGAAGCCTTTTGGCTGGACCCGGAGTCATCATCGTGTAGATAACCAGAATAACAAGACGGCAAATGAAGTAGAATGCGGCACACCAACGGTATTGATCTTTGAAACAGTTCTGAAGAGCATCGAAAAACGGATTCCAGCGGTTGATATTCAAGACAGGACGAAGACTTTTAGTCAGGCCTTTGCGAAATAAAAGAATCATCGGGAATGGTATAACAAATAGCAATATGACCAGTATGGCAACTATCCCATAACCGAGATGTTTGCCGCTGAAGTAATCGAGGTTACCCTCAGCATAAACCACAGTTTTTGATCCAATGTTAGCATAGCGAAGGATCTTGAGGGAAATACTGGTGATATCTGTATAACAAAGTACAAAGATGGTGCAGATACCACGGAAAGGGGCTCTGACCCGTCTGCTGAAACACCATTGGGGGTATGCGCCGATCAGCTTCGCTAATATTATCACAACCAGTATCACGTACACTGGAATGGCGTACATTATCATTAGCTTGTCTAAATCGTCGATACTAGCAGCAAAGCAAAAGCTGTGGTTTGGGACCTGGATGCGAATGTTGCTGAGATTAATCAAAAATTGGCTAACAGGGTGGAATTGGAAGTCATCTGGCACCAAAAGATTCATGACTTGGTAAGAGTAAAGCCAGGCATTGAAATATCCCGTGAAAACATCAAGATCGATGAGCATAATGATGGCAACGACAAGGAGGAAGCCCAAACCATACGGAATTATGAGAAACAAGTACAAATTAGAGCAATTATCTAAACACTGTTCATCTCCAATGCCAACACCAAAATTGTTACGGCACTTTCCACAGAGTACACTGCTTTGATCTCTTCCTTTCGTACACGAGTTGTTTTTCACGTACCTATAGTCAATTGCATTGGGATTCCAAACTGACTTTTTATTACAATAGCCTTCAGGACAGATAAAGGTTGAAAAGGTAGTTTTGCCGTTTTTACCCGCGACCCTTCCGGCCCAGAATCCTCGCTTGATAAAAACGGTCGTCCTGTTCGCACATCTCGAAATACCTCTGTCACCCTTTCCTGATCGTTTAATACAGTTACATAGACGCGTTGTAATCGAAAACACGAATCCGTCATAGCAGTTTCGTAACTTGACATTGTTTATCACATAACGCAGAAGCTGACTTCCGACACAGTTTAGATGCAGTGAGAACCTACTTCCTTCGTGTCCATTTAGGTAAATACGTCTGATTTTTCCTTCATAATCTGTTAGAAACGAACAGGAAGGCTGATTGTAAATAGTAACTTTTCCGTGGGAATCATTACTGATAGTAACAAGAATAATTCCTTGGACAGCATTATTAAGCTCGTCTAATAGTTTGACAT